TACTTCCCATGTACCTCTCTATGTCTTTCTCATCCTCAGTGGTGCCATATTGGTCACTCCCATTTGGTACATTGCCCTTCTCTTCACCCAAATCAATATTTATCACTATCTATCTAACAGCCCTTGCCTATCTCTTTTCCTGCAAGGACTATCTTTCCCAGAGCCCCAGCAGACTTCCCCTTATATCTAGAGTGACCAACTTGTTTCTGTTTGCCTGGTACTTTCCCAGTTTTGTCACTAAAAGTCCCTTGTTCTGGGAAACCCTCATATGGCAAACCAGGATGGTCAGTCACTCTTACTGCTCATTGGCCAGAATTTGGTCACATGTTCATGCCTTGACCAATCCCTGTCAAAAAAAAAAAAAAAAAAAAAAGCCCGAAAACCCCACTGCTGTCTGCTCAATTCCAACTCATGGTGACCTCTCTTGGGTTTCCCAGTCTGTAAATCTTTAGGGAATTAGATTGCCTCCTCTTCCTCCCATGAAGCAGCTGGTGGGTTTGAACCACTTGACTTTCTGGTTAGCAGCTAAGTGCCTCACCCACTGTGCCACCAGAGCTCCTTTATCCCTGTCAAAGGGACTGGAACTACCCCTGATTGGTTTAAACCAATCAAGATTCACCTCTTGGGGATGATATTGCAGTTTAAACAAAATTGGGTTGTGTGAGCAAGGAAGCAGGATTGGCCTCTGGGTCAGCACCCACAGTCACTGCCACACTTGTTATCAGGTGGAGTCAATTTTCAATTCATAGTGACCCCATGTGACAGAGTAGAACTGCCCCATGGCATTCCCCAGGCTGCAATCTTTACAGGGGCAGATCGCCAGGTCTTTTTCCCATGGAGCACCCGGGTGGGTTCAAACCAACCCTTTGAGTCAGCAGCCAAGTGCTTCACCAGAGCTCTTTCTGCCACACTTGTTGCCCATGAAATTAGCAGAGTCCTGTGCTAGACACGGAGCTCAGTGGTACAGAAAGTAAAGCATTTGGCTGCTACCCAAAAGGTCAGCGGTTCCAACCCACTAGCTCCTGGGAGAAAGATGAGGCAGTCTGCTTCCATAAAGATTTACAGTCTTGGAAACCCTATGGGGCAGTTCTACTTTGTCCTATAGGGTCACTATGAGTTGGAATCGACTTGATGGCAGCAGGTTTGTGCTAGACAAGGCTCTGCCCTCCCCCAGCTTCATCACCACCATATTGTGTGTGGTAACAATATGAGAGAATTAGGAGCATGGCAGGGATGGGGAGTGGGGGGTGAGGAAGAAAGGGCCCAGTACAGGCTTCCTCTGTGGTCATGGGAAATGCTTATTTTTAATTTGACCTTCATGTGGCCTAATTAGCATAGTTCTCCAGGCGTGATGTTCAAACGAGCAGCTTTCAGGTAATGGTACACAACAGTAGTGATTGCTGGAACTGAAGAGGGGGGTGGAACTGAAGGACAGAGGCGCTGGGCTGAGTACAGGTAAGGGGTCAGCCCCAGCCACGCTGGGACACTGGAGTCTCTGCCCAGCCTCCTCATTCACCTGATTCTTCAGCTACACTCAAGACAGAACTGCCCCAAGTCTACTTGACAGCAAAACTAATGATTTGTAAGATTCCAACCCCAGGGGCAGTCATTTTCTCTTAAAATTTTAAAGTAGGTCACTTGTAAACCTGGAAATGATGTTCTATTCATTCATTAAGTCACTCATTCATTTAATCAAATATTTATTGAGCACCTATTATGTACCAGGCACTGCAAGGTGCTGGGGACCAAAAGTGAATTTGACACATAAGATCGTGACTCTTAAGAATCTGACACTCCAGAAGAAACAGACAATAAGCAAAAACTAATAATACATACTGGAAGGAGCTCTGGTGGTGTAGTGCCTAAGGCATTGGACGGCTAACCAGTTGGTCGTTCAAACCCCCCAGCCACTCTGTGGAAGAAAGACTAGGCAATCTACTTCCATAAAGATTTACTGCCTCAGAAACCCAAAGGGGGTTGCTATGAGTCAGAATTGACTTGATGGCAGTGAGGTTGTTTTTTTAAATACATACTGTGGTTTGTTCCCTTCCCTTCTCTGAATGCCTGACTTTTTCCAGGTTAAAAAGATGATGCAAAGCAAGATGGAGGAGATGGGGCAGAGCACAGTCTTGGAGGAAGGTAGGGAACACCAGTACAGAGAGCAGTGAGCAAGCCTAGAGCACAGGGAGGGGCCTTGAAGGGTGAACGAGGCCCTATCCCAGTGGTTCTCAAACTTGCGTGCCATCGAGTCAACTCTGACTCATAGTGACCCTATATGACAAAGTAAGGTGTCCAAGGCTGAAATCTTTTCAGGAGCAAATCATCAGGTCTTTGCTCCCGTGGAGTGGCTGGTTGGTTCAAACTACCAACCTTTTGGTTAACGACCAAGTGCTTAATCATGGTGCCACCAGGGCTCCTTGCCCAAGCTTTAGGGGCACAGAAATCACCTGGTGGAGGAGGGGGAGAGAGGCTTGTTTAAAATGCAGACTCCTGGGCCTCACTGTCAGATTCTGATCTGGTGGGTGTGAAGCAGGGACAGGGAATGTGATATTAACAAGCTCTCTGGATGATTCTAAGGCTAGTGGTCTTAGGATCACACTGGAAGATGTCCAGCCTAAGCTTCAAGGTCAGCACAAGACTCTTCAAGATGTCCTCCACCCCCATATTGGCTTCCCTCCTTTCTTCCTGTCATCCCATATTCTTGGCCCTCCTTCCTTTCCCTGTGTCCAGAGACCACAATGAGCATTCCAGGTCTTCCAGCCTCCCCTTCTCTCCTCTGGCATGTGTTCCCTTGCTCCACCTCATCTCTCCCAAGAGGCCTCATCACATCTCCCCTCCCTTGGGCTTATCTTTTAGGAGTCTATTTAAAAGCTATGTTTTAATGAAACCTCCTCTAACAATAGGCAAGTTTCTTTACCGCATATATAAAATAAAGTTGCAGAGTAAACGAGAAAATGTACACAAGGCTCTCCATAGGCACTCAATAAATAAATAAACCAAATTCACTGCCATTGAGTTGATTCTGACTCATAGTGACTCCCTTTGGGTTTCCAAGGTGGTAAATCTTTATGGAAGTAGATCGCCTAGTCTTTCTTCCACAGAGTGCCTGGTGGATTCCACCAACCTCCTGGTTAGCAGTCAAATGCTTTTGGCACTACACCACCAGAGCTCCTTAATAAATAGTAGCTGCTATTTTATATTGCTGCTTGATCTTGGATAGTTCAGTTTCTGCATCTCTAAAATAAAAATTAACACTTATTGAGCTCCTATTATGCACTGAGCACTGTATTAATTTATACAATAACATATTATTATCATCCCCATTTTACAGTATATTAAATGAGGCAAAGAGGGATTAAGAAACTTGTCCAAGGTCACCCAGCTAGTGATTGGCAGCACTTGTATTTGAACTGAGGTATCAGGCTGCAAGCCCTGCGCTCTTAATTGCTATGCTTAAACTGCCTTTCAATGTGATGAGGAGCCAAAGAGATAACAAATGCCAAGACCTGAGCACTGGCTCTAGCTTGTGGTGGGTACTCAATAAATGCTGGAAATGGAATTGAGTTGAAAGGTTTCTACATCCCAGAAGAGGGGGAAAAAATTACCCAAAGATTGCTGCTTGTGGTAGTTAAGGTTATATGTCAACTTGGCTGGGCCTGGTTTGAGTGTCTGGGCAGCTGGTGGTAATTATTCCCTATGATGAGACTGGCAATCAACTCCATGGTGGAATCTACTGTGGGCAGCTGAGAAGCTGCTTTAGGGATGTGGTCTGCTTCCTGAGTATAAGGAGAAGCTTTGGGAATGGTCTATAGCTTTTTGGCACACTTGAACCCTGCATGTAGCCAAGTCATCATTCAGCAGCCTGCCATACTCTGGGGATCTTGGGACTGTTAATGGGATTTGAATCAATGGCCTGCCGTGTGGTTTGATAATATCAGGACTGTGCCATTTTATATGTCGACCTTGGGCTTGTTAGCCTCAGCAGCCAGCAGCTGCCTGAGTGAAAAGACACCTCTAGCTTAGTGGGCCGGGAGCAGGAGGCAGAGCCAAAGCCCAAAGTCTAGGGGCTTTCACTCAGCCCCCAGACCTGGCACTTCAAACTCTAACTTCTAGCCTCCAAAATAAGAGAATAAATTCCTGTTTGTTCAAGTCATTCCATTTGTGGTATTTCTGTTAGAGCAGCACTAAGTAGTCAAAACACTGCTCATGATGTCTCATGCTTTTTATTTGGTAAGACCCAATGTCTTAAGATCCCTAATGAAAATGAAATACACAAAAATAATTCAGAAAAAAATTCAGAAGTGGTGTTCCACTTGAAGCTTGGTGGGCCCAAAACCTGTCAACCTACTTGATTGAGGTGATCATGGATTTTAACTTCAGAAAGTTAAGATGGTACAGAGATAATGGGGAAGGAGTAAGGGCGCAGGTTAGTTGATCCAGTTCCAACCACTCCACTCCCTTGTGCCAAGTTCTGAATCTCTCTCCAAGTCACTCAATATATATTGTTGGCATCCCAAACACTGCATTTCTTCCCATAGATACAATGTGAGATATTCAATCTAAGAAGGACTTCATGGAAGAAATTCCTAGGTGTTGTTTTCCAATCAAAGTGCCACATGGAATGGAGACCTCCACCATCCTGACTTCAAATTCTCTTTCAGTTCAAGTCATTAACCTTCCACATCCTCCTGGGAGCTTCATACAAATTCCAGGCAGACCAGAAAGCCTTCCCTTTGAGCCAGACAGTTTCCATCTGAACTGCATCAATGAGAAATCCTGTGGGTCATGTTTCTGCCAAACTCTGTCCTATCAAGCTTCAATCCTGTCTCCTTTGAGGCAGGTTTTGGGGCTCAACAGTCAAGTAGACAACAGAAAAAGAACTCAGAACTATTCTACTGACTGAACGAAGACCCAAGATACAACGAATTAACCCAAGTCTCAGGAAAAAGGAAAATATTGGGTTACAGGACACAAAAGATAACAAGAGTCACCACCAAATAAGACTAAGAGGCTTTCCGGAAATGGACAACTTTCTGAAATGCTTGCCGAAACTCTTCATTAAACACAGTGTAGATGACTGGATTGATGAGGGAGTTTAAATAGCCTAGCCAGGTGAAGAAGTCAAAGAGGGCCCGATGGAGCCAGCATGAGTCCCGGCAGATGGGCAGGACCAGAGATGTGACAAAGAAGGGCAGCCAGCAGACGATGAAGGCTCCCAGAATGATGCCCAGGGTTTTTGTGGCTTTCCTTTCCCGAGCAGCGGAAATTCTTTTGCGCTCCAGGACACTATCAGCAAGCTTGATTTTCACATGGTTGAAAAAGAGAGGGGAGCCAGCTGAGTGTGAGTGCCCCTCATGGAGGCTGGGGTTGAGGGAGCAGAGTGAAGACCCTGCAGAGCCTGTGATGAGATGGGCTGTGGTGAAGCGCTTCCCATAGAGTGATGGTGGATTCAGGATGCGGTTCCGGGCGGCCCTGTAGATCCGGCCATAGAGGATGATGAGCAACACAGATGGGATGTAGAAGGCCCCACATGTGGAGTAGATGGTGTAGGAGATCTGGGAGGTGTTCACCAGGCAGTCGGACATCTCTTCATGAGCTTGGGCCTGCCTCCAGAAGAGTGGTGGGATGGAGATGCAGATAGAAATGGCCCAGACAATGGCAATCATGGCAGCAGCGTGGCCTGCTGTCCGGCGTTTACTATACTCTAGGGCATCAGTGATGGCCCAGTACCTGTCCAGAGCAATGACACAGAGATGTAGGATGGAGGCTGTGCAGCATGTGATGTCAGAAGATAGCCAGATGTCACAAAGGATTTGGCCAAAGCTCCAGGTGCGGGTGATGGTATATACAATGCTGATGGGCATGACCAAGATAGAAACCAAGAGGTCAGTCATGGCTAGGGAGCCAATGAGATAGTTGGCTGGGGTGTGGAGCTTCCTGGTGAGGAAGATGGTGGTAAGCACAAAGGCATTGGAGAGGATAGTGGCCAGTGTAATGATGGAAAGGACCACTGCAAGAGAGATCTGGAGTGCCTGGAGGGTCCCTGGATCCCAAGCCTCTAGGATTTCTGTTGCATTCAGGGATCTGTTGGAAGCCTCCTGAAGAAGACCTTCCACTGAGTGATTTGGTGGGGGCATTCTAGGTGGTTCTCTCTTCCCACAGATTTCCACACACACAGCAACTTCTTTCACAGTTGTCCTGCCCACCTAACAAGGTCATCCTTTGGTTTCACATTGGTAGGAGACATACATCACAAGAACATACCCCAGTGAAAAGATTTGCTTATTGAAAGAACACTGTGGTGACTACCAGCTGGTAGTAAAAGGTCTTTCTCAAAGCAGATGAATCACAAGATGTCTCATTGTTCTGGAATTCTGCCCAGCAGACCCTTAAGCCCAGTGGAGACACGCTGAATTTGTTAGACAATTATCAGGGTATCACACAAGTGTGGGCTATGTTCTGGGATCCTTGCTTTTGGCATCTTGGCTCTTTTCCAAAGCGTGAGACATAAATGTGTTTAATGAGAACTTCAGAATTTCCCCCATCCTATTCTAAGAAGATTCTAGATTTCAGGCTGCCCTCTGGGAGCTTTCAAAACTTAAAGACAAAAGGAAGTAGCAGCTGATTTAGAGGAACAGTCCAGTTTCCCAGGTTCATCTTGACTCATGATGAGATACTTAATGTGGGTTCCTGCTCCAGTGATGGTTTTGAGCCTGAACAGACAAAACATTCTCGATTACCAAGACTTGAAGAATGTGCAAGCTGGGAGAAAGCAAAACAAACGGATCACTGTGAGTTCACCAAGAGCGGCACGTCCTCGGAAGCTCTGGAGTTTAAAAAAGAAAAAAAATAGAGTTAGGTTCTAGGACAAGTTGGATGAGATTAAAAGGACATGCTGGTTTAATGCTGGTTTAACGCTGGCCGTAGTGCAGCAAAAGGAGCATTCTCCAGAGTGTCAGGAGAGCACCCAGGAGGGCGACATGTCCCACCCCCACAATTCCCTGTGTGGGCAAAGGATCACAACTGCTGAAAGCGTCACAGTCCTGTTACGAGTGCATGAAACCAGCTATGTCAGTTGTGAATCAGAGATCCTCCTCCTATTTATTCAGCATCAGTGGAAACCTGCAAACCAAACAACATGAAACTGGGCACAGTAATGAAAGACCTCCAGAAAAGACACCAAATTGTGCCAATGCATTTTTCTAAGAAGTGTGTGTGGGGGGGTGAATTTTCTATTCATTTGAATTTTCTAATTTTTCTAGAATGAGCATGCATTACTCATAAAATCAAACCAAAAGAAAAAGAAAAAAGAAAGAAAAGAGCAAAATTAGCAACACCATTTGTGTGTGTGTGTGAGAGGGTGTGTATATGTATCATGCTGGGCAAGGGGGAAGAGGAAGCATCTTTAAGCACCTGACACATTCATTAAACTTGAGAGTAAAACAAACCAAATCTTCATGTGAAACTTGAATGGGAAAATGTCCATACCCATGAAAGTAAAAGCACGTTCAGTTGCCTCCCTTGCCATGAGTATTTCTTTGGCAGAAGCAACATTTTTTTTCCCTCTAAATTTTATTTATTTTGTTTTTGTTGTTGAGAATACACACAGCAAAACCTACACCAATTCTTCAGTTTCTACACGTACAATTCAGTGACACTGATGACATTCTTTTATTATTATTATTATTGTGATTTGGGTGAAGATTTATGGAGCAAATTCACTTTCCACACAGCAGTTAACATACACTTTGTCTCATGACATTGACCACAGTTTACCACAATGCAACAGCTCCCTTCCCACTTCCTCCCCATAGTTACCTCTTCCCAGTGTCCATCCTTCTGTGCACTCCTGCCCCCTGAGCTGTCTCCCTGTGCATAAGCAGCCCTTCTTTCTCCCATGATTCTTCTCTCCAGGGAGCGTATCTACTTGAGGTAAGTGTTCAACTCATATGCCTTTCTTTTGTTTGGCTGGAAACCACAGGTGTGGGTTCAATTCCAGACCTGAAGAGCAGCTAGGGGCCATAGTCTCAGTGGTTCCACCA